AGATAGATGATGGAAGGAAGGAGGGAAGAAAGGAAGGAGGGAAGGAAGGAAGGAAGGAAGGAAGGAAGGAAGGAAGGAAGGAAGGAAGGAAGGAAGGAAGGATAGGTGGATAGATAGATATATAGATAGACAGACAGTTAGATATAGATAGATAGATAGATAGATAGATAGATAGATAGATAGATGATAGATAGATAGATAGATAGATAGATAGATAGATAGATAGATATAGATAGATAGATAGGAACTAGCTCACATGATTAAGAAGGCTATGAAGAGTCTCGAGATCATCTGTCAGTAAGGAGACCCAGAGAGTCAACGTGTCATTCCAACCTGAGTCCAACGGGCTGAGAACCAGGAGAGCATTTGGAGGACAAGGACCCACTGGCCGGGACACGCAAGCTAGGCTTAGAGATCCGAGTTTGTTCTTGCCCAGTGATCTTCCAGCTGCCAATGTAGACGAGACTTGAAACGACTTGTTTGAGTCTCAAAAATTATGCTGGGGGGTAGGTCCATGCGACTCAGAGCAAATGATGGAAAACGACGTTCAGGAAAAGAGTCTGAAAATTGTTAGGTGACTCTACTATCATACTATTTTATACTATTACTTCTTCTATTTGCCTTAAAGAGAGGAAAGTCATTTTGGTTTCCTCCCCTTTCCTGCAAGAAAAGAAAAACTTCCAGAGAAAGAGACAGAGAGAATGAAAGAGAGACATATGAAGAAATGTTCAACATCACTAATCATCAGAGAGATGCAAATTAGAACAGCAATGAGGTATCACCTCACACCTGTCAGAATGGCCGCCATCAACAAGTCATCAAACAACAAGTGTTGGCGAGGGTGTGGAGAAAAGGGGACTCTAGTACACTGCTGGTGGGAATGCAGACTGGTGCAGCCACTATGGAAAACAATATGGTGTTACCTCAAAAAATTAAAAACTGAACTTCCATTTGACCCAGTGATCCCACTTCTAGGAATATACCCTAAGAAGCCTGAAACACCAATCAGAAAGAATATATGTACCTCCATGTTCATAGCAGCACTATTTACAATAGCTAAGATCTGGAAACAGCCCAAATGTCTATCAGTAGACGAATGGATAAAAAAGCAGTGGTACATATACACAATGGAGTACTATGCAGCTGTAAGAAAGAAAGATCTCTTATCCTTTGAGATGACATGGAAGGACCTGAAAAGTATTATCCTAAGTGAAACAAGCCAAGCAGAAAAAGACAAATACCACATGATCTCACTTATTTGCAGAATATAATGAACATAACAGTCTGAGGAATAGGGTAGACCCAGGGATGTGAAAGTAGGGTACAGACTGAAAATCCCCAGAAGAGGGGGTGGTGGGGGAGAGATAAACCACGGAACTTATGTGCATGTATGCATGAACAGTGGACATGGACAACAAAGCTGGGGACAGGGTGGGGAGGGAGGGGAAGGGGGGAATAAGTGGGAGGAAAAGGAGAAACATCTGTAACAAAATTAATTAATTAAAAATTAATTAATTGATTGATTAAATAAAATAAAAATAATTTAAAAAATGAAACCATAAAATTCTGAAAGAAAAAAAGAGAAGAATTAAAGGAGTCCAAGGAAGCTGAGCAGAAGTTTTAGGGGGAAGCCTGCCTGCATTGACCCATCACCTCCACTCCTGTGCTGCCCAGGGAACGCAGTGTGAATGGACACAACGCGGCCAGGACATATGTCCAAACTCAGGAGCCGTGCTAGGCGGAGTGGCCCTGTGCCTCTGACCTGTGAGCTTCACGCTGAGGCCCGGGCTTACCCGTGTCAGGGTCGGGCTTGCTGTAGGTTGTGTTAGGGGAGTTGGGCCAGAAAGCAGAGGCCCCTGAAGACCTCCTTGGAGAGAATGGGCCTCTCTGGGAACAACCCACCTGCTATCGTTCCCCAGCCATGCCCAGGTGTGTTTGAATGTCCGCTGTGTTTATGTTAGATTTCCCCAGGGAGCTACTTCTTAGCGTCGTGAACGTGTCCCACCAGTGCCGTGGCCCAGCTGAAATGAAACACAGCTGACGTCCAGCAGAGGACACGACTCCGGCTCATGCCAAGGCTCCGTTCAGCAGGCAAAGTGCCAGGGTGATGCAGGAGACCACAGCTGGCTGGGAGGCTCTGCTATGTTCCGGAGGAGAAGGGAGACAAGGAGAAGGAAAAGGCAGTTAGAGTGAGGTGAGCCCCTCCGGGGCCTGGAGCACACCGCCTGAGGCATCGATACAAACAGGTGCTAGAATGAATGAATGAATGAATGAACGAACGAACAAACGAACGAACGAACAAATGAATGAATGAATGAATGAATGAATGAACGAACGAACGAACTATAATGAATCAGAAATGCTGAGTAATCCAGGTTTCCACACAGGAGCTCAGCTCTCATATAATTTGTAAAAAATAAAATCAAATACCTGGATTTTGATCCATTGCAGGAGACAGTACTCTCAACTAGGAATTTATAAAACAGACAACACGCCCACCGGGATGGTGGGCGGTGTCTCGTGTTTGGGGGTGTAAGAATGTGTAAGTTGAACGGTGGAACCCCCTGACTTGACACCATCCCAAGCCCAGCTGCGTGACAGGAGCCTGACCTTGGCCGTCCCCGCCCACCGGAAGGATGAAGCCTAGCACCACACACGGTCACAGTGCTTCCTAAGACCAGTCATTTTTTTATTACCTACTTTTGCTTTGTTCAAAAATTCGCCAAGGACATCTGAGAGAGCAGGAACAACAGGAAACTGGTCAAGTGGGGTCAGCGTTGGCCACCACTTCTTTCTTCCTCCTCCAACACATTGTCTCAATTTTAGAGAGAGGCACTGAATTCGAAGTCTGTTTCTACCTAGAATGTTTATTCATGAGAAATCGGTTTCTCAGGGGGACACTGGGTGATGGGTGGGTACTCTCAGGCATCTCTTTATGCCATTTTGGCTTTTTCTTGTGTGAGTCTATAATTATTTCAAAATAAAAAGCTTAAAAATAAGAAAAAAATGTTAAGGCTGGATAATAATTTCAGTTTCTCATTCTGTAGGTTAAATTCATAGAAGTTGAAGACATATGTAAAGGTCTGTCGGAATGGGTCCCAGGTGGTTGACTTGTGGTTACACCGCTGTCTTCTTATCTACCTGTATTTGCAAGATGACTTGATCATCTCATGCCCTGAAAAATGCTATGAGCTTGGTGGTGTCACACCCTCTGTGAAGGGGGGATGAGAGAATCGGTTAAGTCAGATAACTTGTTGCAACTCATTCCAGTAGAGGAATCGGGGGCCGTGGACAGAGCCGGTGTAACGGCCAAGGCTGATGTCCTCCCAGCAGGGTCTGCGGGAGCTGCCCAGGACCCTGGTTCTCCTTGGACATGACTGGGCCTTGCTTTTGTCCTTCTCGTGTTTGGGGTTTTTCCTGTCATTCTTCCCCACCAGCTGCCCAAGGGCTTCATCTGAATGGACCGGCCAGAAAGTGCAAACTCACCGTATCAGCGTGACCCAGAAATGGTCCGTCCAACCCACTAGCTGTGCGTGCCCTGCATGCTTCACTCACGCACGTGGCGGGCCACGGACCGTCACTGAGGACCCGCTGGCCCCAGATCATGCTTTCGTGGCAGGTGAGGGGCCCCAGGGAAAACCAAGGAGCACCTGTGCATCAGATGCCGGGCACAGTACTAGACACTTCGCAGGAGGGAAGTGATTTAACCCTCAGTCACTCCTCCAAGTCAGTCCTCGCATCTCCATTTTATGTCTGAGGCTCAGAATGGCCAAGCCCTTTGCTCCAAACCAGGTCGCCTTTCAGGGAGACCGCTGGGTAATTCTGACCTGGCTGTCAGAACACAAACCTGGCCTTTCCCAGGACCCCAGGTGTGACTCGGGGTCCACGGACCCAGCAGCAGTGCGGGTGGGGGGCGGAGTGTAGAGAGCAAGAACAAGAACTTGGGGAGCAAGCTACACAAAATGAGCACCCACATAGATGGTTGGTGTGGGGGACTCCTCAGGCTGTGACATGTAGGGAGACAGCATGGAAGAGGGGGCGCGGGCTGGAACTTGTGGGTGGCTAAGCTCAGACTAGGGGAGAGCAAAGCACCTCTAGATGCCTCTGTGCTGTGCCGTGCTGTGCCTCCACCCTGCAGGTACGTCTGCCCCTCGGAGCTGCCCTGCCCCTCCCACCCAGCATCTTACCTGCACGAGCCCTTCGGCCCGAATGTCTTCCCGATACTACCTGCAGTGCTCCCTCCAAAACCAGGGTCATTTACCCAAGAAAACAGAACCCTCTGCCTTTAAGTTTACTTTAAGTGCTTCGGGGTTGGTGACGGAACCCGAGCGCCACGCGGTGAGGACCGGAGAGGACAGCAGGCTCCGGCGAGGACTCGTGCCAGCTTGGGGGAGCCAGGCCGAAGGCTGGGCGACGTGAAAACACGCTGAGACCCTCACAGACCCCCAAAACACTGCAGCATGTCTTTATCCCACTGTTTTGTTCATGTCTGGGGATACCTCTAAAATATACATATTATTCTCCCTCAGTCACGGAATGGAAACTAGTTGAAAAAGAAACTAAAACGTGCCCAAGATCACGTAACTGAGCACGGATGCAGCAGGGCCAAGGCCAGGCCCCACATCGTGTCCTCGCAACACGTAATGGCTCTGGCCCGCGAGTCGTGGATGGTCTCAGGAAGCCGTCGGCAACAGCAAGCGAGACGACAACCGGCATTCTGTGTGCGTGTGAAATGGTGAGTGTTGCTCAGCCGTCGGTTCCAGCGTGTTCTGACATCACAAAGCGCTCGTAAGGGCGCTCTGTGCCTTTAAGGACACCCGTGGGCTGGGAGACCTCAGCCTCCTACAGCTTCATGTATCGCATTTCAACTCAAGAAGAGGAAGTCCCACCCAAACCCAGGTCACACCGCTGAAGGTCTGTGGCTGCATCTCACAGGAAACCGAACCTAAAGCAGACCTAGGAGCCCGTTGCAGAAGGACACAGCTTCGCACTGGGAGGACGTCGACCACTGCCTTTCTGACCACCAGCTCCCGGAGCCTCTGCGATGCCCCCCCGGCCCCCCACGCAGGAGACAGACATCTCGGCGAGGGGCCGCGCGCACTGCCCACGTTGCTCAGGTAAACCAAGCCGGCCAGCTCTGTCCGAGTGGCCACCGCGCTGTCACAAATGGTCATCAGGAAAGGGCTGACCTCAGGCAGGGCAGGCTGTGCTTCCTACAAAGCGTCGAAGAGCGTTCAAAGGCCAGCTCCCTTCGCTCAGTTCCTAGACATCCCTTCGTGCCATTGGAAGAAAGACTCACGATATCGATTCATAACATGTTTAAAAGACTGGCCCTGGCCGGTTTGGCTCAGCGGTTAGAACGTCAGCCCGCGGTCCAGAGAGTCCCGGGTTCGGTTCCCACTAAGGGCACGTTCCTCAGTTGCAGTTTGTCCTTGGTCCGGGTTGGGGTCGTGTGGGTGGCAGCCACTCGATGTGTCTCTCTCACATGGATGTTTCTCTCTCTCTTTCTTCCCCCTCTCTCCCTCCCACTCTGTCTGAAGATAAATGCAAAAAAAAAAAAAAAACATTAAAGAGACTACAGGTTCTCAATCTTCTCTTTCTGGATCTGGGCCCCCTGACTGTTTGCTGCAGAAACCTGAAGGCCAGGTGAGTGGCTGGCCTTCTTGGCGGTCCTGCATTCGGACAGCCCCCCAGAGGGCAAAGGGCAGCCTCCATTCAAAGTAGGTTGTTGAAAGGAGACACGAACCCCTGGAGCTGCTCTGGCTGTTTATTTCTAACTTTTCTAAATGGAAATGGTTTTCTTTCTGCTTTGGGGTGACTGTAGAGTCGTGCGGCCCACGCTTCTCTCCCAGGGACGAGGAGCCTGAGGGTGCATCAGGCTGGGCCCAGGCCCCCCCACGGCACCAGCGGGCATCTCTGCCAGGCTGTGCTTGGAGAGAACAAACACGCAATAAACTAGCATGAGACAGAAAAGAAGGTGAGTGTCCTCAGAGTGTCTACACTTTCCTTATACGCCCTCTCCCACCGTGGAATTAGTAAGTCAGGTAAATGTATGAATATTTTATTTTAATAATCTCGTCGGAGAATAGCAATAGACCACAGTTGCACAGCCTTGTAGAACCTACAGAGCCTTTGAACACTATTTTTATAATTTAATGATCTTAACAATTTAATGAAGTTGGTAGGGCAGTATCAGGTCCTTTAAAGGATGTTAAAACTGAGGCTCAGACAAGGTGAGGATGGACAGACAGCAGGGAGAAATGGAAAGAGAGGAGGCTTTGAAATCGGTCGAGTTCGGACGTAGTGTGTGATTTAAGTGTGTGTCTGGCTCAGGGCTTCTGCTGGTGTTGCTGGTGCTGGTGGTGCTGCTGGTGCTGGTGCTGCTGGTGCTGCTGGTGCTGGTGCCGGTGCTGGTGTTGGTGGTGCTGGTGCTGGTGGTACTGGTGCTGGTGGTGGTGCTGGTGGTGCTGGTGTTGCTGGTGGTGCTGGTGGTTCTGGTGGTGCTGGTTCTGGTGGTGCTGGTGCTGGTGTTGCTGGTGCTGCTGGTGGAGCTGGTGCTGCTGGTGCTTGTGGTGCTGGTGCTGCTGGTGCTGCTGGTGGTGCTGGTGCTGGTGGTGCTGGTGGTGCTGGTGCTGGTGTTGCTGGTGCTGCTGGTGCTGCTGGTGGTGCTGGTGCTGGTGGTGTTGCTGGTGCTGGTGCTGCTGGTGGTGCTGGTGCTGGTGGTGGTGGTGGTGCTGGTGGTGCTGGTGCTGGTGTTGCTGGTGCTGCTGGTGCTGCTGGTGGTGCTGGTGCTGGTGGTGCTGGTGGTGCTGGTGCTGGTGGTGCTGGTGGTGCTGGTGCTGGTGTTGCTGGTGCTGCTGGTGCTGCTGGTGCTTGTGGTGCTGGTGCTGCTGGTGCTGCTGGTGCTGCTGGTGCTGGTGCTGCTGGTGCTGCTGGTGCTGGTGCTGCTGGTGCTGCTGGTGCTGGTATTCGAAACTGGGTAAGGATCTAGCTGGTGGGTTGCTGTGGGGATGAGAGTTAATACGGGGCCTGCACGCACGTGGAGTGTCTGACCAGGAAGAAACACCCAGGAAATGGATAAATGGTAGCTGTGCGGTGTGGTCGGCAAGGTCACACAGCAAGTAGCAAAGCTGGATCTAGAAGTATCTCTTTATGAACTGCTACCTGACCAGGGGCGCCCACCTTCACGGGCAGCCCCCACGGTCTGCCACAGCCGAGGGCTGGAGGGTCGTCCCAGGCCACCCCTGCCCCTCCTGGCACCGAACAGGCAGCATGGCCAGGGGCTGGGTTGTCAAGCAGAGACCAGCACTTGAATCTAAATTAGAGTTAAGATTTTTTTTAACAGATTGAGCCAAAATTTGGTGATTTTGCCAAGGAAAGTATCAATAAGACTGAGACACGTCAGGTTATATTGGTCAAATAGGAAGACTTAATAAAAACAAAATAACCGTGAATAACGAAATTGTGGAAAACAGCCATCATGGAAATGTTTTGCGGTTTTTGTTTTTCTGTTACTTTTTGTGGACGGAATATGTTCGGGAACCGTCATCATGATGATTCAGCTTCAGTTTAATCTTGTCCTCCAAATAGCAATGACCGGTACATTGTGATCCCAGTGCCTGTATGTGCTGGACAATGAGTACTCATTGCCTCGCATTTTTTTAAGTAGGTATACTTATCCGAACTCTACAGCAGAGGGTACTGGTGGTCAGAGAGACTGTATACATTGCCCATTTCACACAGTAAGAGGGAAAGCAAAAACAAGGCCCGGGTCTACCAACATCTCAGCTTTCTGCTCTTTGCCCAGCAGGGGTCCCTGCTGGGTCCCAGGCAGAGCCTCACTTCTCTGAGACCAGCCAGCAGGTCAGGACTCCCAGATGTGTGTGAGCCTGGCTTCTGCATTTCGTCGGTGGCGTGAACTGAAACCCGGTCCCCAACACCTAAGCACGAGAAGTGGAATTCCACCAGGTGCAAAGGGCACTCGGCCCAGTCATCCGCCGTATAAACTAAGAGGAGCCGAAAGGTCTGGGACTAACATGGAAACCGAATGTCCGTGTGTTTGAGAGCACAGCCTCTCACTGCGGTGGGTCTGGTCAAAGCCAGCCCTAGCTAAGGAGGAAGAGTGGACGACAGCCCGGCTCCACGCCTGAGAGGGTCTAGCCTCTGTGGCATCCCCAAGGACCCCGCTCGGTCATCAGCTTTGCAGAGGAGTGAGGCGAACTTCCTCCGAGGCTCCCAGAGCCCAGGGACCCAGAGATGTTGCCTCTCTGGCATTCTGACCCATACACTCATGTGCTGTGACTTTGTTCAGGTGTTAACAGTATACTGAAGATGTAAGTCCCCTCCCAGGAGGCAAAGCGATGTAGAAACCAAATGTAGCTGGGTGAGCACTGTCCAAGCGCTTACAGTCGTTGAATTCACCGAGCTGTCGATGGGCTGACGGCTTGAGAGGCGCAGGGAGCCAGTCCGTCCCATGACTACTTATGGGCAGACAATCCTAGATCAGGTCACCCTAACTCCTGGGCAGCTCTAGGGGTGTGCTGACCAGCTCCACCCCCTGGGCATTCCCAGAGATCACCTCCACTCTCCTTGCCCCAGACTCCACTTCTGTCCCCAAGCTCCACCCCGTCTGGGAAACAGACACCTGGGTTGGAAGTGGGATTATTGAATGATTTTAGGCACGTAGTTTAACCTTTCAGAATCTTAAGCTATCCTTTATAGAATGGAATTGCAATATTTACCTTCTGGATTTGTGACGAGAAATGAGATGCCTGTTATAACACAGAGTCTAGTGTCTGGCAATTATTAAGTGCAGCATAAATGACAGTGTCCGTCTTACCATTTTTAGCACAGTTATCATGAGTTTGTTTTACCTTCAGACAGATCCTCATTAGATTCTTTGGCCTTTTGTCACTTTTTTAAGAATTTTGACCTAGCCCAGCTGGTGTGGCTCAGTGTTTGAGCGTCATCCCCTGCACCAAGAGGTCGCCGGTTCAATTCCTGGTCAGGGCACATGCCCAGGGTGTGGGCCCGATCCCCAATGTGGGGCATGCAGGAGGCGGCCAATCAATGTTCTCTCTCATTGATGTTTCTCTCTCTCTCTCCCTCTCCTTGTTTCTATCTTTCTCTCCCTCTCCCTTCTTCTCTCTCTAAAAATCAATAAAGAAAAAAACTTTTTTTTTAAGAATTTTGACCTAAAGAAGTCCTATTTTGAGGTGATTCTACAGAAAGCTAACCTCATCACTTTTTGTATTTATTTTAATCATTTATCTATCAAAGCCTTGGTAGTATCTTACAACTTCCCAAATGTACCGATCCTCTGAATGTATTAAGATTTAATGAAAAATGTCCTTCGTGGTACCAACACAGAAATCGTTCAGTAATTACTAAACTGTACTTGCATAATAGTTTGGTCTTCAAAGGAGGATGCTCATGTCCCCATTTTCCAGACTAGAGATACTGAGACTCGTGGTGTACAACGAGGCATTCCTGGGCTGAAGGACCCGCCTCCGCACACCTCACCAGGGGGGTGTTAAAAGAACACAAGAAAGGACAAAGGAAGAGTTCATCATCTGGGGGAAGTTCAATTCGGGAATTAAGTTCTAAGTGCACTTGAAGGTACAAATGAGGTGATGATCTCACCTGAATCCGCTCTGCGCATTTGTTCGCCGGACAGACTTGGCTGGAGAGGACTCTACTGAGCAAAATGACGAAACCGTTTAATTCTGAAGAGTCTGAGTCACTTGGACGGTTGCCTTACGGTGAAACCTAAATCAAACAGGATGTCCTCTCTGGCTTCTGGCATTCTGTCAATGGCATTCTCGTTGTCATTATTACGACGATGGTTGTTGTTCTCACTACTCTTCGCCCAGTCTTGGTTAGATTCCCTGACTTTTCACGTCCTGTCTTCGCATTTTAAGTTTCTCTCGAACTCCTTTGAGGCCTTTTTGGTGATGAGATAGCGCCTTAGAAAATGGCTTATGTACAACAGGTGCTTAGTTTGAAGGATAACAGGTGTTCGGGCTGGGCCGGCGGTGTGGAGGGGTCCGAGGGAGGTCGGCTAGCCTGTGCATGGAGGTGTGTGTGTCATCCCTGGAGCTCAGTCCGTGTGCTTCAT